GTCKAATATACACTTGCCCATTCTTGAAAAATTAAGGGCGCTCTCTGYTTTCTTAATCCCTAAGAAWTTGCRCAACGGATAAAGTAAATGAAATCAGTTTTGATGATAGAATGCATAAAATGTACTGGCTGGAATTTGATTGAGCSCATCAAAAGCCTCTGCTCCAGAAGCGACAGATGTGTCAGSCAGGAGCCTTTCAACTCAGCCAATATTAAAAGTGTCTGTAACTACATGTTCTTTTTAAATGAACGTACCTGGCCTGTGTGTATTAGCTTTTCCATTCCTTCTTATTTAATCTCCAGAGTACTAAGATACATAGCTCCCAGCTAAAACTGCATTTCAGCAGTTAAAAATCTAGGAAATGCAACTGAAAATTGATGAATAAGATTAATTACTACACAATGAGAGGTACATCTCTCGGTCGGTGAAGTCTCATGGCCAGAAAATCCGAACATACGAGCCCGCAATAGCAGCGGTACTTCGCATAAAACACAAAAACATGTTTGTTAAATTTTACAAAGAAATGTACGGATCAAAAAAAACTATTTGAGAATAACTTTTGATCTGTTTTACATGGAAGATTTTCCAAGATGAAATCCTAGAGGGAAACTATTCTTGATTCCATTGTAGGAAAACCAAATAAACACGAAATTGCGAAGAGCGTCCTTTTTGACAATTTTCTTTTCCTTTCGTCGTCTCCTTTACCCTTGTATTTCATGGTGAAAATTTGCGAAGAAGCAAAATTTCGCCGTAGCTGATCGTGTTTCCTTACATGTCATTGATTTTTCAAAGATCATTTCTCAAAGTCCACACATTGAGCTAGAGACACAGCGATTTTCAGTTATTTTGAAGAAGATAAACAGCGTCCTTTTCGGTACTAGAAATCGTACAATTTGAAAACACTAATTTAACGGTGAAATGGCTGGCGACAACTCGTGTTTCACGCGAATAATTGGCCTCGATCTTTCATTTTCTTTCAATTTTATTCGCCATGTTTGGTACCAAAATGAACCTTAGAAACGTGSCTTTCAGACTGGGACTGCTTTATTAATTTTGGCGGTTTTTACTGGCGCCTTGCCGCGCACTAGTAAATAGCGGGAAATACGAATGAAAGGTAGACCAATCAAGTCTACGCTATTTAGTGTAAACAATGTCAGAACTTTTAAATTCCTTAGAAATGTACAAGTATAAACAAAAGATCACAATATCAACTGATGATCATTGTTTAAAATACCTGAGGGAAACGTGTGTTCCAGAAAATAATATTATTTA